ATGCTTTAGTCCAGGTCTGGGAGGAGATCCCTCAGCAGACCATCCACCGTCTCTGCAGGACCATGCCCAGGTGTTGTAGGGAGGTCATAAAGGCACGTGGAGGCCACACACACAATACTGAGCCTCATTTTGACTTGTTTTAAGGACATTACATCAAAGTTGGATCAGCCTGTAGTGTGTTTTTCCACTTTAATTTTGTGTGTGACTCCAAATCCAGGCCTCTATTGGTTAATAAGTTTGATTTCCATTGATGATTTTTGTATGATTTTGTTGTCAGCATATTCAACTTTGTACAGAACAAAGTATTAATTCAAAATATTTCATTCATTCAGATCTAGGATGTTTTATTTGAGTGTTCCCTTTATTTTTTTGAGTAGTGTACTTTTACAGGACAGAGAAGAGACTAAGTGCGAAAGACAACGAAAGGCGAAGGGTGACCATATCAAGTAAACCCTACCACATCAGAAGTTCCATTGAAAGTGTACTAACTTGCACATAAGAGTGGACACACGAGGGTTGACATGAACACGCCTCTTCTGCAACAGCTGGCCAGTTTGTTTTGATGAGACCTTTCTCTTTGGCTTTTTGGTTCCTTTTTCAGGGTTAATGCCAATGAACTGACTGAGAAAAAACAAAACTTAGATTAAGGAAAATTCACTTTAATTTGGACAGATATTAAGTTTTCAAAGTCACATATTTACACATGCAAATATACAACAATTTAGCTCTTACCTGTGAATGAACCCCAATGTGCACACTTCCTCCTCCTGGCACTCTAAGTTAAACACATATGTGGCGAAAAAGGTGGCAAGGCCAACAAGAATGTGGGCTGTGTGCCTTCAATACAGTTGATATATTCTCACAGTGTATTAAGCAGTATTATATTAAATTTATAGGTATTGTTAAACGTGATGGGAAGGCGAAGGGTCGCCGTTTGGACGTGTCCATGAGCGCAACTGTGATGGGAGGCTATCGTTCCGGTGTTACACCATATTCTGTGTGGACCCCAGCTATGCTTTTCATTTTATTTATTTATTCAATTAAGTAAGTTTTGTTTTTTTTACTTCTACCCGCTGTCCTAGAGGGAGGTTGAGTGGACCCCGGCTATGCTTTTCATTTTATTTACGTTTTATTTTATTTATATATTTATCTATGCTTCTTTGGTTTGGAGCTACTGATAAAAATAGCGGCTATTTTTGGTTCTGCGTATTGTTTATTTAAGGGAAAAGGAATTTCTGTTGTTTGGAGCTGTTGAAAACTAAAAACCACTGTGCATTTTAACAAAGCCATTTTACTCATATCCGCTATACATTTGACACACATTGCATATAATAGCTGAACAATAATATGAAAAAGGTAAGTGATATGGCAAGCAGAAGAGCTACAGAATCTTCCCTTGGTTTCAGAGTAGTTTGCATGACCTGACCTCACTTATAAAATGATGTACTGCCAGGTTAATTGCACTGAAACACAGTCAAGTGAAAAAAGCTACCCTGTGAACGTTTGTTTTAGACATAGTATATTAAATATGTTTTACAGAGCAGTAAAGCCATAAACACTATCACAGTGTTTTGGTCTTATTTTTCTCTTCTTTGTAGTTATATTGTCGGTTGGCAAACAACGTATTGGTGCATTACCACCGCCACGTATCTCGGTTGCGGTTATGCAGAACGACACATGATGCTTTAAAGCCGCACTTCCAGGAGGTGTTCCTTTCCGCGGGGCGAAAGCGGGTCTAAGGAATACACAAGACGTGTGGAGCCGTTCCGGGTGGACCAAATCAAGCCACTGATAAAGGGGCATTAGTCATGCCTTGCAAACAACGCAAAGGTTTACACTCATCAATGTTACATGTTATGTTAAGTCATAGACATTTCCAATATGGTCTATTTTACTTTATTAATGGTACATGAAAGGTATAAAAGTTAATGTTACAAACGGTTTATTAAATATACATGGTAGATGCATGGTAATAGCGTTCATGTAGAGATTGTCAAGGATAAAAAGGATGTAATAATTCAAGGTAAAGATAATTTATGGTTAATAAATGAGCCAACTGGTTAAAGGCAACAAACTATTTGAGTTACTAATGATATTTTTTGTTCTGTATATTTCGTTGCTCTTATGTTGTGTTCACATGCAAAGCTGTTTAATAAAGTAATTGTGAACCATCAGTTTGGGAGACCATCTTTTCAACTGGGGATGCTACATTTCTCTCTTCCCAGTATACACAGAGGACTTTTATTATGCATTCTGTGCACGTCTTTATCACAAACTCCCAACCTTCAGGTACATACAGGGAGTTTTTATTGAGATTCTTCACATTGGTGTGTATGTGGAATTCTTAAATCCAATATAACTAACTGCAAATCCACTGGCAAACATAACTATGGATTCTTAGCAGAGATTCCTAGAATAATGTGAATAACACCACATCTGCAATATATCAGAACTAGCCTACATGACTGTTTTACCATAACAACTTCATTAATCTTTCCACTTCTGCCATGTCCAAGTTATACTTGGACAGCTTACTTGCAGTGTGGGACAAAACAAAGCTATTATTTTATCTTTTGGCAGGAACAGGCTCTCCTATGCCAGGAGGACAATTAATAAAGTAAAATGCTTCCAAACATCTGCCCTTAATAAGTGAAAACCTGCTGAGAGAGAATTATCTTTCATATGTATACAATCTTAACATGTAATATATAAGTATACCAGAATGTATGTAATATACTTAAAGTGAGTAAATGAAATAGAAATGTGAATGAATGTAAGGAATACTAAAAACAAGGATTTACAGAAATTAAGCAACCTGAGATGATTGCTCTGGTTTAGATCTTCAATTTTGGGTTCAACTAATTAATTAGGATCCTATATAAGTTTCTATGCACACATAATTTTAACTATTAGACTAGGTAAACTAAACCTATTTGCAAATTAGACCAAAGTCATCTACTCCCCAGCCATATAGCTCACCGTTATGGACAAACATCCATGTCCTTCAGACCCACAAACTGTGTCGCGGGAGGCAACCCAAAGATCAGCTTAGGCCCTTTCAATCAAAAAATCCACCCCTCCTAAAAGGTACGAGAAAATATCTGGAGGTCTCCAAGAAATCTTGCTCTTGGCCAATCTGAGCAAGAATTGCCTGCATTGCGTCTAATAAGTATCATTATCATCTATTTGAGGGACCTTTAATGCCAATCAGGTCCTGTTCCATCATTCCTTTTATGAAAATATATATAAACAGAAAACATTGGTTATGTTAAATCTCAGGAGCAGAATATCATCAAAGTTGATGCCACCATTCTATCAGAGTATATAAACAGATTAAAACAGTTCAGAACCTCGTTAAAGGTGATAACATGAAAACATTAAAACTAAATAAAGACAAAACTTGAGGTTATAACATAGGAATATGGAGAAACATCAATTAAGTTCTTAGTCATGTCACAGTGTAACTCAGTCTCTGTACTCAATTTCCTGGAAAAATTCGCTGCCTCCTGGACTGGTGATTTTGAATTCCCATTGAATTGTCCCGGTTCAGGGCCCCCAAGTACTCTCTATGTGTCCATTGGTTTTTGAGTCAAGTGCACTAAAGGAGTTCCCAGTTTAGCCAGTCTCTCTGGATTTGTCCCTCCCAGGTGTCATCCTGAAGAGACCATGTGAAACCATGACCATATAGTACAAGAGTGCTAATTAAACAGCCTTCATCACTAGGGATGGGTACTGAATTTGGTACTTTTTTAGGTACTGTTGAGGATTAAAATCATTTAGTTTCATTTATGAGTTCAGTTCGCATATGTAACCATAAAAACTGACATAACATGTATTGTGAGCCTGAGTGGGAGAAGTCAGAAGTCACAGCAGGCTTCAGGTTGAAGAAAGGGTTAAGGTTAGGATGTTCCCAGCAGCTGTAAGCAGTAAAATGCTGGCTGTATGGGCAGTAAAGCAATAAGTGTCGGCTGTTGGGCATGGTATAGATAATAAAGTACTCACATTGGGGTTGGCTAATTTACAGCGCCAACACAGACTTCGTAATAATTCTTGGAGGGGAGGGTCAGTCAGTAAGCTTTGAAGCAAAAGGTATAAGAGGTTTTAACATTTATTGTAAGACAGAGCACTCGGTGATACGCCCTCGTTTTGCTGACCGAGTCTCTCCCAGAGGGCCCATTGGTAAACTTTTTTTTTCTCTGTATCATTCTTTTGTATTCAATATGCATTGGGAATTATTGGACTTATCATTTACCAAATTTCCTGCTCTTCATCTGTTCATCTGGACTGGGGTGTTGAGGCTGTATTATGATATCTGGTGGAATTATTTTACCTCAGCAGTACCGACCGAATTCCATCTGCACTAGTAAGTACCATTTGACGTAAAATCAAACTGTACCCTGTTTCAGTACCTTGTGCTTTTTAAGTTTATTCAACTGCCATTATATTGTCCTGGTTCAGGGCCCCCAAATACTCTCTATGTGTCCATAGGTTTTTTAGTCAAGTGCGCTAAAGGGGTTCCTGGTTCAGCCAGTCTCTCTGGTTTGGTCCCTCCCAGGTGTCATCCTGTAGAGACCATGCGAAACCATGACTGTATAGTACAAGACTGCTAATTAAACAGCGTTCATCACTAGGGATGGGTACCGAATTTGGTACTTTTTAGGTACCGGCCGAATTCCATCTGTACTAGTAAGTACCATTTGACGTAAAATCAAACTGTACCCTGTTTCATTACCTAAACGCATCATTGTGACACTAAGGGAGTGGAAGAGTGGGCTAGTTTCCATGCCAGACATGAACACAGCAATGCACGCACAAAAGCATAAGGACGTCAGTAGTCGCTGGTACCGTCAACAAAGCATGCACGTCTGATAGAAAGAGCTTGAAAGTATGGCGGCACTTTTCAAAATGCATCGCAGAGGGGGTGGTGGCCTAGTGGTTAGAGAGCAGGGCATTTGTGTCCTGGAGAGGCCACAAGGACCTGGGTTCGAATCCTACAGACTACCACTCTGGGTTCCTGAGCAAGACCCTTAGCCCCAGAATGATCCCTGGGTGCCACACAGTGGCAGTCCACTGCTTCCTATAAGCGAGCTGCGCATCTAGGGCTGTGCAGTGCATTATGGGTAAGGGCATTGTTTTGGCTACCAAACCACATGCGACAAAAGTAACTGAGAGATCTTGGATTTGGACTATTTACAAATTTACTATTACAAATGCTGGAAAGTTGATGATTTAAAGCGTTATGGCAATCAGCAGAAAGAAAGAACTGGCTGCCCAAGCATACGCTGCATCGATCCAAAATCTGCCATTGTTTAGGACAAAGGAGGATGAGAGAGATGGCATCAAAAAAGACTACGATTCCTTGTTGGTAGTCAGAAACAAACAAATTTCTGACCCCTTGAAGGCAATTGACTGATGGTTGGACGATGTCCAGGGCCTGAAACTGTGGCCAGCTTGCATGTTATATGATATTGCAGAGTAGTTGCTCAGCAGGGATGAGAAGTCGCTATTCCACCAGCTTTGCAATAACTACAAGGAATGTTGGTGTGGTGTTTGCTTTTATAATTTGACATATATCAGCTTTAGGACATTTGGGGTGGGAAGACATTTAATAATAACGAAATGTGAAGTGAAAATAGGCACAATTAATTGATACAAGCATTTTTCCATAATTGTGATCATAGGGTATAATAATCCCAGAGCATATGGCTATGTAAACAAGTTAGCTACCGCTAACACCTCGATGCAAAGCCTTTAGCCTCACACAGTAAACAGCTGCATCAATGGACTCTTTCTGAGAAACACAATAAAGATGTTTCTTAGCTTTAAACTCCGTCAGCGTTTTATCCAAGATTAAATGGTATTGAGTCCATCTTTTGCGTCCGTCTGGATCTTTCCTTTATGTAAGGAAATTGTGAAGAGTGAACGGAGGTTTACAACTACATGTCTCCTTGCATCGTGTGCAATTAAAAATGGCACAGTGTGCACCGATCTTTATGCAGCAATTATATTAAAGGCTTTAAGCTTTAAAACCAATGCCTCTGAGCCTTATGTTCACGTCAGCTACACTCCATACAAATTACAGAGGCTGCGTGGTTGATTTGGTAGCCAAAATCTTTGAACTCGATTAGCCGCCACATGTGCAAATGCGTTGAGCAACTCGCTAATAGGGATGGGTTAAATGCAGAGAACAATTTCATTGGTATGTAATATTATAATGACAAATAAAGATTATTATAGATTAAACTTGCTGCAATATTTGTGACACGAAGTGCAAGGCCAGTGATGGGAATACTTCTAATCTGAGGAAGCACCCAGTTAAGCACAAAGTTTTTTGTCAAGGCTGAACCATGCACAATTTTTGACAACCTCAGGTCTACGGCTACAACTCTTGCATTCCTCACCTTTAGCATGCTTGCATCCGTTAGCGACTCGTTGTCTGCAGCCAGCAAAATGGGAGAAAAAAAAATATATTAACAACTGAGATGATACAATTCAAACAGCTGGATGTGGATGGTGACATCATACATTAGTTTCTGAGGACATGTGGGTGGAGACCAAGACCTTCTGCACTTACAATAACAACAAACCCTGGTTCACTTCTCCTCTGATGAAGCTGTGCAAGGATAAGTAAGAGGCTTACTGCAGTGGGGACTGGGCTCTGCTTAAGCAGGTCAAGAACAAATGGACCAATGAGATCAAAGCAGCGAAGAGAAGCTACAGTAAGAAGCTGTCATGGATGTATGATTCTGTGGCTTTTCTAATCATCTCTTTGCTGCCCTAATTAAATATATCTGCCCTTGTTGCTTATCTGCCGCACCGCTCACTGCTACAACTTACACAACATAACTGTTGATATCACATAAGACGCAACACATAGTCAAGGATAAACTGATACAAGAGGATGACACCCTTTAGGAGGGTTAAGAACAGGCATAGATAA